TTAATAAAACTCATAGTATGCAGTTTAAAACCAAAAATAAACTCACAACCGACGTAGATATTGTTTGTAACAATCGTCCAGTAACCACTGTGTCAAATATAAAGTTTCTTGGTATAAACATAATGGATACACTCAACTGGAGTTCACATGTGGAATGTATAATCCCAAAACTTACCTCAGCATGTTATATGATGAGAAGTATTAAACCATACTTGCCTCTAAAAACTTTGAAAACAATTTACTACTCTTATTTTGGCTCTGTTATGAACTATGGTCTTTGCTTTTGGGGAGTCTCGCCTCATAGTATAAAAGTATTTAGAATGCAGAAGAAGATAATTAGAATTATGATCGGCTGTAATAGTAGAGTTTCATGTAGAGATCTCTTTCGGAAATTGGAAATTTTGCCTTTGGCTTCACAGTATATTTTTTCACTCATGCTCTTTGTGGTTAATAATAAAAGTCTCTTTATTCCAAATTCACTAAATCATAATATAAATACAAGACATATTACAAATTTCTATCAACCCATAGCAAATTTTACGGTATATCAAAAGGGAGTGTATTATATGGGCATAAAAATTTATAATAATCTTCCTTCTTATATAAAAGAAGAGTCACTCAACCCTAAGAAGTTCAAAATTTGTTTAAAGCGTTTTCTTTATCTTCATCATTTTTATTCTGTGGAAGAATATTTCCAATATAAGTCATTATAAGTTAATGATTATGCATTCACAAGAATCACCTGTTGATCATCCAGTCTTTTATTAGTATTATTCTAGTCATTATTCTATTATTCTAGTCTAGTCATTTAAACAATTTCTGTGATATGTTCAAACTGACATTGTTTAAATTTAAACTGCATGTTTTATTAAATTAACTTATATGACTGGAATCTACTTGATCCTACATGTTTTGTTTCAATTTTTGTATTTTATACTTTTTTATTTATGTACTTAGCTCTTGCTCTATTAATTTTAAGAATAATCACTGTATGGACATGTCCTATATCTCACTTGTATTGTGGATCCATGGAACGAAAAATAAATGAATGAATGAATGAATGAGTATCATTTTCCTTCATTTGCAAGTAGACTACTTATCATAAATTTATCTCTTCATGAGATTAAGTAAGATTAAAACTTGTTATCATAGCTGCCTTATCTTTTTAAAGCTGAATTCTTAGCCACTTTATTCATAGTCGTTGTTGGTATAATGGGTTACACTCTTGGCCTGTTCTGCTTTCAGAGATTAAGAATGTCCTTTCATCTTTTTGTACCTGGCATTTTCTGTCACCTTTTCAAATTTAAAATTTACTTTGCATTCAACAAATCCATAGTAGAAAAGCCTGTTGGATACAGAATGCCATACATCGTACAATAAATTTGGAATTAATTATCAATTCCTAGTCTTACTTTATAGATAAACAATGCAAAAACAGTGACATTAATGAACAACTTATAAATCAGTTTAATATTTACAATCCATACTTAAACTGTTCGTAGTATGTGTAAGCATTTGTAAAATGTCACCATACTCAGTATAACAGTGAGAATTCTAAATCTTACTTCTGGCATCTCAGTACATACTATCTTTTATGCTCTTTGTGATAAAAAACAGAAAGAAATTCATAGTAAATTCAGAGATTCATAGAATAAACACCAGACAGCAAAATAATCTCCATCAGCCTCTTGTAAATTTGAGTAAATACCAAAAGGGAGTTTACTGTTTAGGAACAAAGGTCTATAATAATCTACCACAATATATTAAGGATATATCAGGTGACACTAAGAGTTTTGAGGTACAATTAAAACAATTTTTATATTTACATTCTTTTTACTCATATTCTTTACAGGAATATTTTAGTTATAAATCTTTTTAAGATGTGAATAGTTGTCTTGCTTTACAATTTAGAAGAAGACAAGATTGTCAGTCTGTGTTCTGGTTTTTAGATGCTTATTTTAGATGCACACAATCTTTATATTACTGTATACTAGTCTTTATTTCAATTTATTATTTAATTAATGTATGTTATACAAAACTCATTAATGACATTGTGTTTTAACTATTGAATTTTTAATTAATAGATTTGTATAAAACTGTACAAATTGTATAAGGTTTGCCATTACTTTTACTACTAAAATTAACTTATTTATTATATTGTATATGTTTATCAGTATTTTATACAAATGTGTATGCTATTGGATGACAACTGTAATCCTTAGTTGTGACTGTAACTAGGACGATCTCCACAGCCGCATGAGAATGTACTCTCAACAGGATTTATGGGAGGTGAATAAATGAAATGAATGAAAATGACAGCTAAGAAATCTTCAGTAAACACGTAAAAATTAATTATAGACACAAAGGATTTACAAATGTATGAGTTCTTCAAGAATAATTATTATTTCGATACAGTTGAGAGTAGTTAAAGTTTTAGTGCCCTTAATTAGAACATTCCCAGTCAATTCCCAGTCACAGTTAGTAAATTTAAGTATAGAAACAGGAATGAAGTATTAACATTTAGCAACAGATCAGTTGTACAGCATTCGCTGTTACAACATATTTGTCATGTTCTGTAAGCAGGAGACAGCAACTCGTTGGTTACTGTTATAATAAACATACAAGCCTGCACCAGAAAACACTTTTTTAATGAATCTTTTCCACCGTAGCATACATTATCATCTGATCACATGAGGTCTGTGCAACCTCTGCAGTTTATGCAGCACTATTAAATAAGATTGAGCCAACAGAGTACAATAAGAATTGCTGGAAAGTGTCAGAATTTGTCTCACAATACTTAATTAGTTATGGAGCTGAGCCCTTATTGAGGAGAAGCCAAATCTGCAGCTACTAAAGAATTTCCCAGCATTTTATGGAAACCGAAGGTTCATTACCGTGTTCACAAGAGCCCTCCACTGGTCCCTATCCTGAGCCAGATCAATCCAATCCATCCTTTGTCTCACAGTAAATATTTTATAATCATTTTATTGTTCATAGCAGAAGCATGAAATTACAAAACTAAAAGTAGGCCTTCACAGTCTGTTACGGGGGCAGCTTTACCTTAAAAGTTTATAATAATCTCTGCATTTGAAATAATGTCATTAAACGTTATTTTCCATGTGCTTGGTGGCACTGCTGATGGCATGACTTTTCAAACCTGCTGCCAATATCCTGTCTACTGGTGCCATACTGTCAGGGGAGATTGTGTGGTCCCCTGGCCTCAGATGAGGCTATTGTACCAACCTCTGATGGTAGTTGAATATGAATCATTGGTGGAGGATACCTGAAGTTCTTGGTGAAATTCCTGCCCCAGTGTCACTTTATCCACCACAAATCCCAGTGGATAACCCTAGGATTTAACCCAGTCCAGTGTGATGAGAAACCCACAACTAAGCACTTGAGCTTTGCCACAGCCTTACCAGAGATTTGAAGTCCCTATTCCTGGATGATAAAGTATCAAAATCTCCCACTTCTTGTGCATGATTTGTTATGGTTTGTGAGATCAGAGGTTCTCATGACTATGAAGATTATTGTCAAAACAGACATCATGTCCCAGAAGATAGGAATCTTTTCTTTACCATTTCGTCTTAGTATGGGTAACAGGAATATGCATTTACAAACTTAATGCAACAAAATGTATGAGTTCTTTGTTTGTACAAGGTGGTTCAAATATGACTGGGACTGATTTTTTTTTAAAACCCATAATTTCCAAGCACTTACTTGCACATGTCAGTCTTCAACGTACTCCCCTCTGGAGTCAACATATTTTTCCAACCTTCTGGAAGCATTCTGATGCCCTGAAAAAAAGAGGCTTGTGGTTGGCGGCGTATCCACTCCCAAACAGTCTGGATGATGGCGGTGTTGTCCAAAAACCGCATGCCTTGCAAGTCTGATTTGAGCCTTCCGAACAGGTAGAAATCACTTGGGGCCAAATTGGGACTGTATGGCAGATGTGTCAGAAGATTCCATTTCAATTTCCAGAGGGTTTCCATTGTTGTTTTGGCCATATGGGGGCATTCATTTTCTTGAAGGAAGGCTCCCGCTTTCCACGTGTCTTCCGCTTGGATTGGATCTTTTCCTTCACGTCTGTTGCCAGGAGGTCTGAGTAATAAGCTGCATTGACTGTTCTGGCATCTGTCAGAAAGTCTACATGGATAATCCCCTGCCAGTCCCAGAAGAACGTTGTCATCACTTTTCCTGCCGAATGGCTCCTTCGCGCTCTCTTGGGTTTGGTAGAACTGGTATGCAGCCACTTGCATGATGACTGCTGGGACTCAGGAATGAAGTAGTGCACCCACGTTTCATCGGTGGTCACTATAGACTTCAAAAATGCATCACCATCGTCTTCAAACTGCTGTAGGAGACGACTGGCAGCTTGCATGCACACCATTTTGTTCACGTTCGTCAAAGTGCGTGCTGCCCACCATGCATTCACCTTGTGATAGTGCAGGTGGTATTTCACGATGTCTTCTACACTACCAACACTGATGGACAGCATTGCTCCAAGTTCCTTGATAGTGATGCGCCTATTATCATGAATAAGCGCGTCTGCACAATCAATGTTTGGCTCGGTAACGGATGTTTGCGGCCAACGATCATGAGGTTCATTCTCCATGTGCCCTCAACCCTCTCTGAAGCACTTACACCACCCAAACACACGGGTCCATGAGAGACACTCTTCCCCATACTGTTGTTGGAGTCTGTGGTGAATTTCAGTGGACGGGAAGTTTTCTCCAATGAGGAATTTGATCACAATGCGTTGTTCCATGCTCCGCGGTACCTTCTGTTCGCTCATCACTCTAGCAACTCCCAGACAGGACTGAACAGGTTCTAACCAGAACAGGAGGGAGGGTGGAGGTTGTGGCTTCACTCTTCTCAAGGTCGCACAGCTGTTGCGCAGTGTGGCTTGTTTACACACAAATCAATCTTGGTCATATTTGAACCACCTTGTACCGTGGTTCCTGATCACGAAAATAACAAGGTATTTGTTTTTGTTGTAGGTGGTGCAGATAGTAACAAAGGAAAAAGTAAAAAATGGAGGAAAATTTTACAGTTCCCTCACATATCACAGTGTATAGACTTGAAAAATAAAATAGGTGAGTTCAAATTTAAGTTATTGCCAAAAAAATATATTGCATGAATGTGATGGATCATACATACCTTGATTGAGTGAAAACTGCTGTACCCTCACGTGTGAGATGAAAAGTTTTCGCAGCCATGAAGATTTTGAATGTAGCATACTGGATTATCACATTGCATAGCCTTGTGGATAGTTTCTGATATTTAAAAGAATATATTGCCAACATCTTCATGATACAGCTGAAAACTGAAGCAGTAGAGTCTCTGTAACCGCTCATGAGACCCCAAGACACCCACAAGACAAAAGTCTAAATCTTTACATCTAAGAAAACCATGGATCTCATACAGTGTTAAACTATATCACTTCCCTTTGTTACCAGATGTAAAATATTCGTATGTTGTGGATCAGCAGCCAATTGGCCGGTTGCTGTTTCGACAGTTCTGCGAAGATGCAAAACCTGATTATCATCGTTACAACATCTTCCTTGATTCCATTGTGAGTTTTTGAATGCAAACTCAATTGTATTTAAATATAAAGATCAGATTATGAGTTTATGTGTTTCAAAATGTTATGGTTTACATTGTGTTTGCATCTGCTCCCATACTAAGGGAATATTCAACCAGATATTTGTTCTCAACACTGTTTGTTAAACAGTAATATTTATTATTCTTAGTGTGGTGAAACTGAGGTCACTTGGTACTGTGGCCGCTACTGGCCTATCGTACCAGCCCCAGATGATAGGTGAGGGTGATTGTGGAGCAATTCGTGGAATGAATATTGGCAGGTGAAACCAAAGTGCTCAGAGAAAACCTGCCCCAGTGCCACTTTGTCCACCACAAATCCCACATGACAAGACCTGGGCTCAATCCTGGGCTGCCACAGTGGGAAGTCAGTGACTAACTGCGTAAGCTATGGCACGACCTTATGTTAAACAGTATGGTGTAGTATCAGTGCTCTGATTTCATATTTTGGGGTATGTGGTTTGTATCTCCGTTCCTCAGGCTGTCTCCCATTATTTTATTTTTTAGTTTCTTCATGGAAAAACTGAGATAGGCCATGACAGACTCCTTCCAAATCTGTGTGTAGTTACAGGGCTGGATTTACCGTTGTGGGGGTTCAGGGCAATCAAAATGTGAAGGCCCCAATCAATAACAACAAATTTATGTTACAATAATTTGTTTTTATTTCTTATAATAGCTAAAAATACAAACACTTCTTGTGATTTTAGAGAGACAAATGTCTCAGTAAAATATGTATATTCTTTTTTGCTTTGTGAAGGCTCCACTGTGATTGCCTCAGTCACTCTCCCTTAAATTCATCTTGTGTATTTATTGTTAATGATCTTTGGTGTAAAGAGTGATGTTATGGTTGACTTTGATTGTATCTTATGTCTTATTAATTTATTGGTAATGATCCACAGGAGAGGTATGAGATCGAGTCAGACGAGAATCGTTTGGAGGTAGCTCAAAATATTTACCGTACATATTTGGATAGAGAGGTGAGTTGTTTACAAGGCTTTTTTCCTTTGTTGGTTTGTTGGGTAGAACAAATCTTCAACCAAGAACATATTCCATGAATTCTGATTCTCTGCAGTCCATTGTGTGGGAAATTTAATCATCTCTACTTTTGTCTCTGTGGTCATTGATTTTTGGATCTATTTTTTTTTTTTAATAAGGCCTTGGATCTGTAGTATTTTCTTCATTTTATATTAAATTAAGTTATATTGCATTGAAGGGGGCACGTGATAGCGTAGTTGGTTGAGGCACTGTGCTGCAAGCTGGAAGGTCATGGGTTTCATTCCCCAATGTCATTGGATTTTTCTCTTTACCCAATCCTTCCAGCCGCACTACAGTACTGGGGTTGACTCATCCTATAACAGAAATGAGTAGCAGGAATCTTCCTGGGGTTAAAGGCTAGCCAGTGCTTAAGGCTGACAACATCGCTTCCATCTGTGAGCCCGTTGTTTAGAAAATGTAGGAACCTGGACATTTCATAGCATTATTGGCCTCCTGGCCTGTTACAGGGATAGCTTTACCTTTACCTTGTTTATTGCATTTGTTTCTCGTTTTTCAAAATGGATGCATCAATCAGAAATCATTTGTGAAGTGAAAATTCCATAAACGACTGATTTACGTAAAATACCTAGAGATGTTAATACCTGATATAATACAGGATGGGGCGCAGAAACTTCCTTTTTTTTGAAGGCGAATAAAAGAAAAATTATTGCTGATAGACAAAATCTATGTTTAGCTAATGAAAGAGCATACTTTAAAGTTTTAAATCATGTAGTTTTAAACAAACTATCTTGAAGGTGGTGGACACCGTTCTCTATGCACTGATGCAACCTTTTTCTGAAGTTTCCCTCTGCATGTTCCAACATGTGCACCAGAATTTGGGCTACTTCCTGCCAAATAACATTCTTCAGCTGAAGCAGGTTTGTGGGGCAATGTTTAAAAACCTCTGCCTTGAGGTATCCCCATAAAAAAAATCCCAGGGCATTAGATCAGGTGAGTGCACTGCCCATGGGATGTCACCTCGAAGCGAGATGAGCCGTCCGGGGAACTTTGCCCTCAAAACTGTCGTCGATGCAGGGCTGTGTGGGCCTTGGCACCATCCTGTTGGAACCAGACATTTCCTAGATGCATTTCTTCAAGAGCTGGTTCGAAAAAGTTTTTAATCATGTCCACATACCGCTGTGAATTGACTAACTGCATGATCGTCTTCTTCAAAAAAATAAGAGCCAATAACTCCAACTTTCGACAGCGCACACCATATTGTCACCTTATCACTGTGAAGTGGCCTCCCACGGAGCTCTCTGGGATTGTTACCACTCCAATAGTGCATATTCTGCTTGTTGACATATCCGGATAGGTGAATGCATGCCGTTATTTGGTTCTGGAAATCACGTGGTGACAATTATTACACAATAACCATCTTATAGGGATGGAAATTAAGATGTTTGTGAAGAATTCGGCGCATTGAACGATTGGATATGTCTATGGTGACTGCATGTTTGCGAGCGGAGCATCTTGGAGATCTCAAAATCGACTGTCAAACTTCCTCCACATTTTCTGGCATTGAAACGGTCCATTGTTGTCCTGATGATTTTTTCACCACACTCCCGGTTGTCCTAAAGTTCTCTACCCACAAAACAATCAATTTCCGGTCGGGAACCGGACCTCTGGGCTTAATTCCGAAGTGAGTACAGAACGCACGCTGCACCGCCATATAGGAATTGTTGTTCGAAAAATAGGGTTCGACAGCAAACGCACGCTGCTCACTCGTCCACCTCATGTTTCCTACTGAGGGGTATTAGAAACTTCCGTGACTGCTGCGTTCGCCGAGCGTATCCCCACTTTTCTGCGACCTCCCCTCCCTTCACAATGCATCTTCACAAAAAGGAAGTTTCTGCGCCCCACCCTGTACTTATATAAATAGTAGTGAAGGAAGTGAAACATACACAGTAAAACATGTGTATTTGTTAATTTATTGTAATTGAGTCTAATGAACAGTAACAATGAAAAGAAATGTAGAATGGAAAGGAAAAAGAAGCAGAGAATGAAAGAAGAAAACTAGTTGTGCTGCTTGACACAAATTGACAGGTGGTGAGTCGTTTATTGGTACGAGTTTTGTTGCGATATTTGGCTTGGCATGTCTTCATTGTAGTCAGATTCTTTTTGTGCAGAATGAAAAAAGGGGTGTTAATATTTCAGATTTTCTATTGAGATATTTTAAAGCAAGAAGTTAGTGTATTTGTTATAGTGTGTCTAATAAATAAGAAATCACGCAGAACCTATGTGCTAGTTTATTTTGATTCCAGGCAAGCGAAGCAGTTGACATTTTAAATGCAGAGATAATTGAACATTGTAAAGAGAAACTTGCTACTGGCAATAAAGAACTGTTTCTTGAATGTATGGCAGCAGTGAAGACATTTCTAGCTGGAGAGCCATTTCACCTGTTTGAAAACTCCATGTATTTTCATCGATACCTGCAGTGGAAATGGCTTGAAAGGTAATTTGTTAGTTACTGTTTCTCTTCATACGAAGTTAACTAGTACAATAAAAATGGAACTTTCCCATTCCCATCCACTTCTCATTCACTGTTTCGTCTGTCACCAGTCCGCTTACTCATGCACTCTTCTCCTTAGTTCAATACATCTGTTACTTTCACCTCCCACAACCATTTATATAATTATAAACACGACTGAAGGAGCTGAACACAGTTTGTGACATTCCGGGCATAGCTAGGAAGCATTCCTGTTACACGTGAAAGTTGAGTTTTGATAAATGGAAAGCTAAGCCGTGTACAAGCAATAGAAATCTGCCCTTTAAGATGATTGACTTGCTTCAGTCTAGATGAAGTTATCTGTGTGCTTAAGCATAATGCCTTGAAGACATGGAAGAATGGAGGTGTAGCTGCACACAGTCTAAATTTGATATCGGATTGTGGCAAGGGATGATCTTCATACTTGGGTCACTCTGCCTCCAGGGGAAGTGCTTCCTGGTACCCATTTAACAGCCTGGGTCAGTCCCAGAACCCGTCTGACTGAGGTGATGAAGAGAGATATTTTGTTCCTGCTGGGAACTGAGCCTTGGTCATTCAGCTTCTTGCTACACAGGAGGCTGTGAAGAAAGGACTTGAGTGCATGAAGATGAAGAATCTCCACTGTTATAATCCATTGCTAGGGAACGGCCGGTAAAGACACAGCAGGCTTCAAAAGGCTTAGTGGGTGCTGTAGTGATTTGTAAATTGTGTAGATCAGTGATAACATTGTAAGTGCTTGTAGTTCTGAGTCATGTAAGTGATCAGTAAATCCATTCACCAAACCAAACCTCGTCTCTGGTCACACTCTGACATGTGACAGTATTGCAAGGGAGAATCTTGACACAGAGGAAAATATTTGAGATTGTAAAGATTGTGGCTACAGGATGCAGGGATTAAAGGAACTGCGAAATAATGGCACAATTTAAACAAGGTGTAGGATGGCCAGAGAAGGGCTGGAACAGGTCTTGAAGTTTGTAGATGGACAAGAACTTCTGGTCATTGCCTTCTTATTGCTGTATTTTGAAACACATTCAGTTGATACCATAACTTGTCACTGATTCTGGGTTGTGACTTTTGATTTAAGTTGGGTGTGAGATGAGAATCACAGGGTTTAACTTCTGAAGTCAGTGTCATGGTGACATACTTGCAAGCTTGTGAGTTATACTGTCAGTGACAGTCCAGGCATGTCATCACTGACTGCAAGTCCACAGAAAAATCGTCATTGCCTGGCCATCTCCTAGTGGGGAATCAAACTACCTGAAGCATTATATCTCCAAGGATCACAGTTTTCACTCCCATGGTTATTTCTTCTGATTTCATAGGAGCTATAAGGAATGTTTTGCGACTTTCAAACCTTAATGGCTTCCAAAGTTGCACTGTGTAGTACATCGCATGGCCGGGAAATGAGTGACATAGTCTACTGCACAACAGTTTAGACTATATGTAGTGCCTCCTGAAAATTTAGTAAAATTCACATCAATAATTTTGAAAATATATAATACCAAATATGCTGTGAAAATTGTCTGGCACAGGTCATTTAAATATCACTTCAGCATAAGATTAGCAGAGGGTTTAAATGCCGGCTTGATAGATTAAATGTATGCTCCAGAGAAGTAAGGGTAATTTATGTTCACTGTTGTAATATCTGGCTCCAAGAAAGATGACAATGGGTAATTATTTCCAGCTACATAGATATTTTAATTAGAAGATTAAAGCCATCTTTTATACTTAATGTGCTGTCATTAGTAATGTGATATGTCCTCATCCACTAATACTTCTTGCTGTTCTCTCAGCAGTCTCTTAAGAGACCAACAGCAACAGCATCGTATTTCAATTAACTAGACTGAATCCTCTACGTACAACAGTTAAATGAGGAACTTCCTTTCATTAAACATTCATATAAGATCTAAAAGTTTGTGACGATGGTACATTAGTACAAATATTATGTTTTTGCACATTGTCCATCGTCTTGTTTTTATCCAAAAACCGCCCTGTTTATTTTTCAAATTCTATCTCTGTCTCTCTCCAGCAATGACTTCAATCGAGATACTTCTCTGGTGCAAGGCCTCATATGTGTGGAGTTTTAATAATTCAATATTTTCTTAGCTCTCGCAGATGTTTTGTGCTGTGTTTGATTTATGTACCCCTTCTTGAAGCTGGCATAGGTGTCCGGAGATAGGGACTAGCTCTATCGATGGGCCCGACTGAGTAGGTTCCACCTGAAGGCAGAGACAGAATCCAGTCTCCGAAACATTGTGTTTTGAAAAATAAACAGGATGGTTTTTAGATAAAGACAGTATGATGGATAATGTCCAAAAAAATAATATTTGTACCAAAGATTCATATGTTTATATTTGGCTCTGTTCCTTAATTACTAAGTATTTGAGAACATGGCGCTGAGAAGAATATTTGGACCAGCGGAGGAATGAAATAAAAGGAGTTTATAGAAAACTGCATAATGAGGAGCTTCATAACTTGTACTATTAACCATATATAATTAGAATGATCCTGTCAAGGAGGCTGAGATGTACAGGGCATGTAGCACACATGGGGAGGAGGGGAATGCCAGAGGGATAGAGACCACTATAGGAAGACTGATATATAGATGGGGAGATAATATTAAAATTGGTCCTAGAGAAATAAGTTGGTATGGACTGGATTCACATGGATTCACTGGACCAGTTGAGGGCTGTTGTGGACATGGTCAGGTTCCATAAAATGTTGGAAAATTTTTGAATAGCTGAGTGACTGGCACTCTGCTCCGTTGAACAAGTTAAGTTAGTTCCATTCTTTAATTAAGTGTCACAGTAATTACCAGTGCTCCCAAGATTCTTTTTCTTTTATCTGGTGTCTAATCACTCCATTTGTAAACCATATGATCAGCAAGGCAGGGCTGACACCATTGCCATCCAGTGGACTTTGCCTTGACTGTGTTTAGGCTATAGCAAAAAGTACTTTCTCTTAGGATCCGGTTATCTATATCGAATCCTCATTATGGTATTCCTGGGTATAGCACTTGTAGTGAAGCAAGTTTTAAAAAAGTTCTGGGAACAGTGTTCCTACCAGTTTTTCACTACACGTTTTACTTAAAATTTCAGCCAGCCTTTCCTTGCGTTGTGTTTGTAACATAGAAACTTTTAAGTATATGCTTTTCTGCATTGTTATTGATGTTTCACTTTATTTCCAGCCAACCTGTTACATACAAGACTTTTCGAATGTATCGTGTGCTCGGTAAGGGAGGTTTTGGAGAGGTGTGTGCGTGCCAGGTTCGTGCCACAGGAAAAATGTATGCCTGCAAGAAACTGGAGAAGAAACGTATAAAGAAAAGGAAAGGCGAGGCAATGGTGCTTATTGAAAAACAAATACTTCAGAAAATCAATTCTAGATTTGTGGTGAGTGTTCCTCCTATTCAATCAGTTTTAACTTTGGGAGAAACAGAAACACATGTAGACTTCATTATAACCACAAACCAAGAGGCTGGTGTTGTGGTGATGCTCCAGACTTGTTTTGTCTTCTAGGATGTAATGTCGTGTAGTCCGTTGAAAGTCAACTGATGTTTCAGAGGAGGATGTCAAACCAATCTTCAGGGTCGAAGAATAAGCCAAGCAAGAAATCAGGAATAAAAACGGGTGGAAATGAGAGTGACATGTTCCTCTGAAACATCAGTTAACTTTCAATGGATGACAGAATCGTTTCCCAGAAGATAGAACTCTTCACTCCAGACTTCTCTTTAGGATATTTTTGGTTCATATCTTTGCCAGGATACCATGGATCCTGACTGAGTTTTTACATGGTTCTCCTCATTCCCTGTGGGCAAATGCTGGCATAGTACCTTGATTAGACCATTACCGGTACCTTCTAAATTCTTACCAATTTGTGATTTATAAGATATCATACCATTTAATACTGGAACCTCCAAAATAGTTCTACCTATGTTGTTCAGTCCATACCTGTAGAATGCATTGCCTGAGCCATGGAGCTGAGGTCAAGAAAGCGATCTATATCTTCACTACACCATACAGCTTCTTGGCATAGTGCTTAATTAGTTAAGCACAGGGACAACTTCACCTTGCTAGTGGAATATAGTGATGGCAAAATGTGCGGTCTTCCTTTCTGTTAAACGAACTAGGACTGTGACTGTTTTCATTATGTTACAGGTGAGCTTGGCATATGCATATGAAACAAAGGATGCACTGTGCCTTGTACTTACCATCATGAATGGAGGTGACCTCAAGTTTCACATCTATAACATGGGAGGGGAACCTGGATTTGATATTCACCGTTCTCGCTTCTACGCTGCTGAGGTTAGTACTGAAGTTGCAGTAATATCCTACATGGTGGATGCTATTGGCCCAGCTATAGACCAATCTAAAATATGAAACAACCACCATTTTCGCAAGTAGTCTGGGTGGAAAGAAATTGTGGCATTGATACTTCTTTAATCCTTCACCACACATTTTACTTCTAACCTCTCTCAACTACAGTTTAATTTGTACAAAAAATAAAGAAAAAGCAAATTGGACATAAAACTTCTGCCATCTGTTGTTCCAATTATATGAACCACTAGGAGATATGTCAGGGACCATGAAGAACAAAGACAACACCTGGTATATGATCATGATGTGATATACTTGTAAGTCGGCGGTGGATGTCATTCAACACTGCACCTGTACAGGAAAATTACAGCACTGAACGCCATCTGAGAGCAGATAAGAAACAGTTAATTTGAAAATTATATAACTAACCAGCAAAATATATGTTACAGAGGAATGAAAGTTAAGTAGGAGAGGGACCTAAGGCATGATTATGCTACACACGACTTTCTATCCCTGGTCATTAACAAGTCTTACCAGTGTGGCAGCCACACAAACTTCTGTGATGGGAACAGTACCAGCACATCTTAATGAAACTAATAAAGCCGTTGAGTAAGGACCTTCTTGAGAAACTATTAATTATTCATCTAGTTAAAAAAAGTGCCACTATTTTATGGAACCTGAACATTTATTACATTTCAAAAGAGCTTTCTACACTAGTCACTTTCCTGAACCAGATTAATCCAGCCCATATCCTGCTATGCGGTTTGTTTGGTATCCATACTGTCATCTATGTGTAGGTCTTCCAAGTGATTTCTTTCCTTCAGATTTAGCTGCTAAGCTTTGTGTGCATTTTCCACCATGTATTCTATGTGCTTTGTCCAACTCATCTTAATTTAAGGTCCCAAAATTGGTCTCATATCAGGAAGTTTTTGTCTGCTGTTAGCATTTGAATTCCATAGTTTAATTTTATATTTTGAAGTATCTTCTCCAAATCTGTCGATTTCCATTCTGTGAATGGAATGTTACAGGTATTAAAGTGTATATACCACTGTAGTTTACAAACAACATCAGAGTCAGATACATTTAGATCAGTAGTTCTTCCCTGCTGTGTAGTCTGGAATTCTCATTTCATTTTATGTCCCGATAGTGAACTAACCTGGAAATAAGATTGTGTTGGTTTTTCTTTATTGGCTGCAGGTGCTTTGTGGACTGGAGCACCTGCATGTACAAGGCATTGTGTATCGAGACTGCAAGCCAGAGAACATCCTTCTAGATGATCACGGCCACGTGCGAATCTCGGACTTAGGATTAGCAGTGGAGATCCCCGAGGGTGAAATGGTGCGAGGCAGGGTAGGAACAGTGGGCTACATGGGTGAGTTTTATCATATTTTCATTTTAATGTAGATTAGCATTAGGAGGTTCTGAATGAACAGAGTCCAGTTAGCAAGTTGTCTGTGTTTATCCCATGATCGCACGACACAGTATAACGGATTCGGTATGAATGTCATGCTGTCGGAAATCTCACCAACTCAGTATTCAGTAGCCCCCTGTTTTGTCAGCAGTACCAACATAGCTACTGGCTCTACGTAAACTTGTGGTAACAGCATTAGTTTAATTTATTGTATGTCCTAAAGGTTTTGTGTCATTATGAATCAAAAGTCATGCAGCATTTATTAATGTAATTTTAGCTCATTAAAGAAGGGTGGGTACCATATATACCAGCTGCATTAATGCTTTATATGTGTATTTTGCCACAAGCCTGGTTAGTATAGTCGGTGTAGCGACTGGCTACGGGCTGGACGACCGAGAGGTCAGAGTTTGAGTCCAGGTAGGGTCAAGAATTATCTCTTCTCCATGTGATTCAGACCGGCTCTGCAGTCCACCCAACCTCCTACCCAGTGGGTACTGGGGGCTCTTTCCCTGGGGGTAGAGTGGCCAGGGTTTGAAGCTGACCACTCACCTCCAACTAGAGCCGAGGTAAAAAAAAATGTGGATTTATATATCCACTCCCCCATGCATTCATGGCATAGTGTTTAATTAGTTAAGCACAGGGACAGCTTATACCTATATGTGTATTTTGCCATCAGATTATATGTATGTGTTTTGTATGATTCTCAGAATAAACAGTGATTATTTTCCTGTGCAGCATTAGCAGGTTGGTGTTTGTGTTGGAGACACATGTCTGCGAGGTAGGAACTGAATTCTTAAATGTTATATAGATGAACCAAATTTAAATTTGTCAGAGTTAAACCCTTCTGATGTTAAAGCTGCAAGCTTATTTTTCCAAATTATGCAGTTCAACATTAATTCAGGAAATCAAAATTGCACAGCACATGTCTCAAGTGACTGTTTTCAGGCTTCATAAGATTGAAAGGAGAATGGGAAATGACTTCATAAACCTTGCTATACACTGTGATATGTTATTAACTGATGAACTTATGCTGCGAAGTCTTTTCAAAAGATCGTCTATGTAAGCGTGAAAAAATTTATTTATTTTTTGTTTCAAATTGTGTCACCACTCACATCAGTCCTGATGATGGACGCAGAGAGAATCTTTGAAATATCATAAATTCATTCCTCATATCTATGGTCAATTGCCTTACAAGACTTCATTGCATTCAGTTGCTGTCAAGCCATCAAGTATTACCTGTCTATCTAATTGCCAAAGTTCATCCATCTGTCCCACCCTTTTCCCAAATAGTGCAACATAGAAAGAATTGGTAAAGACAAAATATATTCTTTTTGGAGAGAGAGTCCTGGGAATATCATTAATTTCATGGTAGTTGATGGGTTTCCTCCATAACAAAGGCATTGGGATCATACCAACATTGTGATTATGGTGAGACGCATTGACACTAGGTTATATAGATCCTGAAATTGCAATGCAGACTTTCATCTATGGCAACACTGTCGAATCATCTAGTGTGATCTGTAAAATTCACACCCAAACGTGTTTGGAACACATTTACATGCCGTGGTGATTATGTCACTGTAAGATATAAGCGTGTCGGCATTGAATGACCCTTACTCCATGTTTGTCTATGATCTGTTATGCATCTCCTTAATAAGTCTAGTCCTCCAGCAGTTCTGCATTTCGAACAAAGTTTTTATAGTAGTAGTGAACATTCCCAAAATTTAATGTGTTCTTAATTTCTTCAAGACTGCAGTTTTGATTAATTTTTCTCATCCCCAGATATCTGAGCTTTGCCAAATGTTTCGAAGGATATATTTTTTATATTGGTTTTCCCCTGCATTCTAGTGACAAGATTTGTGCATATGTTTACTGAATCAGCCTTTGGTTCTGCACTGCCCTACTTGTGGCTGTGAAGTACTATCTGTAACTTGTATTTTACAGCTCCAGAAGTGATAGACAATGAAAAGTATACATTCAGCCCTGACTGGTTCAGCTTTGGTTGTTTGATTTATGAGATGATAGAAGGTCAAGCACCTTTTCGCGCAAGAAAAGAGAAGGTAAGTTGTAGCTGTTGTATATGTTACATGTTCTCTTTAGATGTGCAGAGGGTAGTTACTCCTTCCCCAAAGTGTCTTGCCATGGAGGTACATTGGGACATGTGTGAGAGCTCTGAATGTTCTTGACATTAGTAAAGGCGAGTGGTCAACTTCATGCTCTAGTCACTTGATGCCCTGGGAAAGAGGCTTGGTGCTCACTGGATAGGAAGCAGAGCTGGTCTGGATGTAGTGGCAAAGAGAAAATTTTATACCCTCCACTGGAAAATTATTCTTTGCCATCCGGCCTGTACTCTATAGCTGTTTGATGTGTTCTGCAATTTATTACTTCTTCTCTTTGTTTGTTAAATACTATTATTTTTTTCCTCTTACTTGTTGTGCTGTGTATTATGTTTTAGCATTTGTTCTTTCATATATTATATTTTTTCTTATAAATTTGGTAAAGAGTTTCCATGTATGAAATGTATGAATTTACTTTCATGAATTTGTTACAAACTTAGTAATTCCCTAGAACATGATCTTAAACCCAGTAACCAAACATCTAGTATAAAATGCAATGCTTCAGCTTTTAGGCATTCTTCACCAAGTAAAAATTGAATGTCTTGTGGAAGTCATGTCTATCTTGTCTCCCTCTGTCTGCCTGTGACCTGTTGTCAGCACCTAAACCACTAGACAGATATGCCTGAAATTTGTTACTGGAGATGTTTACCAAAAGTTGTCACGTAGTTGAAGTTTTCAGCCATAAAAGTAAAGTAAAGCTATCCCTGTACCAGGCTGTGAAGGCTCATAGGGTTGTGAGACGTTGAGGGTCCCACACTATCTAGACAATCGGCTCAAAGATGCCAGTAAGGTTGTCAGCCTTATGTGCCGGCCGTGCTTTACTTCTGAGGAAAATTATTTAATTCCTGGTACTCATTTACCATAATGATCTGTAATAAAGCTCAGTTTCCATAAGGCCATAAATAGACATTTCAGCATATCCCATAAATTCTTTTGCAGATTCATTGAAATTTGGTATGGGAGACTTGCACTAATTTGCATTTTTTATTCCTGTTTCTAAGTAATTTCAAAGAATGTTATTGGTAAGTTTGTGTAATGCATTATAGAGTACATCCTATTCTTTCTCATTAATCTACTCTTAACTGTATATTTTATTTCCTGTTTTTTAAGGTGAAACGGGAAGAAGTCGATCGGCGGGTAAAGGATGATCAAGAGAAATATTCACATAAGTTCAGTGAAGAAGCCAAGCATCTGTGTCAGCAGGTAAGAGTATCATTTAGTTTAGCCAAACTATGAAATCTGATATCATTTGTACCAACTGAAGCCAATTCTGTGACAGTAGGAACCAAAGTTCCAGCCCCAAGCACAGAAAATTGCCATTGGACCTAGTCTTATTCAGTTAACATTCATTTTTACTTCTGTTCTAATATATTCCTATCATACCCTCTTCAGTCTTCCAGGTAGCCACTTTCTGAGAGGATTTCCCATCAGAATACTGCATGAAGTTTGTTTCCCGATTCATACTACATGCCCAGCCACTTAAATCACAAAAATTCTTGTTGTATACCCTAAGGGTGCTGAGAAAAGTGTATAAATGTTGTGAGATTTGAGATTTTCCTGCCAGTGCACCAGAATATTGCTGTCCTTCCAGTTGTGATATTGTGTGTTTTGGAGGATCTTTCTGCTTCTATCTTCAGAACAGTAGTAGCTGTATGTTCATCTGAATCATTAGTGCCTGTTTACCAAGCTACACAGCATCACCTCCCAAAAGACTGTAATCTTTATGTACATCTTAAAGTTTCTTATGTATGTTTTTATATCATTCTATTTATTCCATGAATGAATATTATCAACATAATTGGTCATAAGTGTGTAAATTTGTAATGTATTCAATTCAGTTAATATAGGTAATTTAAATAAAATTGTATTAATTCAAGTTTTATAGCAAGTTGTTTTTAAATTATGTTTATTAATTAAAATGTTATTAATTTTTTTACGTTGTATTATTATTTATGTTAATCGATTAATGTAAGTGATTTTGATTATGTGACTCATGTAATTTGGTATATGTATTTTGATGTATCTATTTTCAAAGGGACAATTTCCACATCCTAGGTTTGTTACCTGTATGGATATATGGAAAATAAAGGAAATGAAAGAATGAATGAATGTATTACTTTTTATATTATAATTTTATTGTTTTTTTTAGATGTTAACATTTGCAGACCAGTTCTAGGGCCTGTCCAGTGGGTACTGGGGCTCTTTCTCTGGAGGTGAACCAGCCAGGCAGAAGTTGACCATTCACCTCTGTCTGGTGCCTGGGCTAACAATGAGTGGAGCTGTACCTTTGCTTCCCCCTATGTTTTCGTGGTATGATGCACAGGAACAACTTTACTGTACCTTGCACGTTACATTGCCCAGTGCTTTATTGTACTAGATAATGTAACCTCCACTTCCATAGATTCAGGTATTCACCAACTACAGATTGACCTGCTCACCAGCTGCTGATACTTCTACCACAGCAGCTTTCAAGAGTATAACCCTGTGATTGGATCTGGAGTACTGGATCATTCTCAGCACTTGTTTCTCAAACACGCCCATCTGTGTTCCTTTGTATGGGCAAGAGATAGTTTCACATAATTGATATTGCATTTTCTAATTGACAGCTTTTAAAAAAGTCTCCAAAACAAAGGCTTGGATGTCACAGCAGCAGAATGGGGGCACGTGAAGTGAAACATCATGAATTCTTCAAGTGCCTGAACTGGAAAAGACTGGAAGCTGGAATCCAGGAACCCCCCTTTATTCCAGATGTAAGTACAAGCAAGTTCATGTTATATGTGAGCTTCATCCTGCTCTAAGGATTTAAAGAGCTGTGTAAAATCTGCAGCAATAGGTGTCTCATTGAACATGTCAGGTGGTATTGCGCTAGTGAAAACAGCTGTCACCACTTTGTATCAGTAGTAGTAACTAAGTAGTGGTATAAGCTTGGCAGGTAAACGGTAAAAAGGTAAAGCTATCCCTGTAACAGGCTGTGGAGACCCATAGGGTTGTAAGATGTTGAGGCTTCCACATTTTCTAGACAATCGGCTCAGATGGCTGTGAGGTTGTCACCCTTACGTGCTGGCTGCCTTTTACCCCCAAGAAGATTCCTGATACTCATTTCTGTTAGAGGCTGAGTCAGCCTCAGGGCCATAGTGCAGCTGGAAGGATGTCAATTGAAAATTCCAATGACCTCATAAGGAATTGAACCGATGACTTTCTGGCTTGTAGCACAGTGTCTCAGCCAACTATGCTACCAGATGCCTCCATGAATTTGCAGGAGTGAACAAAAAAATTCACCATTTCTGGCATACAATGATGTGTTGAGGAAGATACGCAGAGGCAGAAATTTAAGAGTGATGCCATTGGAAGTAGCTGGGTACACAGCAGTTGATTTATTTCTTGCATTCTTTTAGCATCATAACTGTGTATGCAATAAAGATGTCCTCTCTTGTGTTGGGAATGATGTTGGATCCATGGAGTTTCAGGTTTTATGGGCAGTTTGCCCCATTTATGGCAGCTGTATGTAGGGGGATGACCGTGCCACAAAAGACTTCTCCCATCATGTTTGGTGTTGGTTTACTATTTGCATTCTTCCCCTCTTGAAGCCTTCAGTAGAACAGAGAATTCCTGAAAATATTCATATAGTTATTTAATAATATGTAATATCTGAGGTTTCCCTTCATTGATGGTCAGTTTCAATTGTCCTGGTCAGTAATATTGGTGATAAATTTCCTTTATTTGAGGTTTTCTTCTGTCTAATGTTGAAGTCCACTGATCTCCAAAGAAATCTTGAATATGGGTTTCACTCCATAAAGATGTGTTTTTAATATTTCAATGGTGTGACCACAACAGCCTTTGCCACATGTTTAAGCATAATTCTTAGACACATTTTATTGTTTTAGAAAAAAAAACATTTATATAAATGTTTCAGCTAAAGGTATTTATATATCTATATACAATGCTTTGTGGATAGTTTACATGTGAGTGTTGATAGTGTGTCAGATATGTACTGAATTAAATTTTAGAAATTTGTTCTTTTGGGATGTCAGCATTTTGTCTGGGCACTTGCTGCCTGCTGCTGTGCATGGAGTCGCCTCTTAAATCTGTACTGTAGCTCTTGTGTTTGGCCGTTTTCGTAGACCATTAGCATATGCACTTGGAAGTCAGAATTGAAGCACAGAGAGACTGTATATGGGCAGTAAGCAACTGCCATGAGCTCGCTAAGTGATAAGCCATTTGTGAGTGACGAGTGAAAATATAACAGCAAGGATAATTGAAAACTACTGCAGGTGAGACACATTATTGCCAAGTATGAACCACTTTTTACCTGCCATGCGTGCCACCTGACAGTAACACACACTGAGTTAATGTATGAACACTAACTTTCACTGTGTTTCCTTGATTGCTGTGTATGTGATATGTAAGAATTGCTAACTGGATGCAGGTTTTGTTGGGTGTTGTGGTCTGGCTTGTGGTGTGCTAATGAGTAAGTTGTCCCCTTTCTGCAGCCACATGCCGTGTATGCAAAAGATGTGCTGGATATCGAACAGTTCTCGACTGTGAAGGGTGTTAACCTCGATGCCACGGACGATACCTTCTATAGCAAGTTTAACACGGGGTCTGTGTCCATCCCTTGGCAGCAAGAGGTACAGGCATGAATTTTAGTGCAATTAAATTTAGTTACAAAGTGTTGTTTCATGTTAATTTTATCTGTGCAGTATTTACATGTGATGTGCAGATACATTTATTTGTGCATTGTAGTGAAGAAGTTATATTTTGCTGTCTTCTGACTTAATGAGATTACAGGCAGTAACTGTGTGGGAAGATTGTAAGTTACAAATGCTTGAATAGAAATGTCCAGAAAAATATTTGGACCTTGTCATTTCACAACGAGGGATAATCACGATTTCATGGCTCACTTAGGAGGTTCAGATGGGCTGGATATGGGAGACAAATGTACGTAGAATTTTTGTGGAATCTCTTTTAAAGTAGTCAGTTTTTTGGTTAAGAAAGTGATATAAGTTATGACTTTTTGAGAGGAATGAAATTGAAACAGTATCATTTCCAGTGCTGCCCTTTGGTATTAACAGAATTTAAGCTTTGGGTTCTGTTGCTTGGTAGGTCTTAAGGAAGTAGCTCAGGATCATGTCCACTAGTGAGCTTTGTTATTTATCAGTGTTGAATAAATTTTTGTGCTTGCATTACAGATGATTGAGACAGAATGTTTTAAAGAACTTAATGTCTTTGGACCCAATAATACCCCAACGATAGACTTAATTGTTGATGCCATCCCGGAACCAGAGAAGAAAGGATGCTTTCCTTTTAGAAGAAAGGTACATAAATTCCTAAATTCCGTTTAAAGGCCATATTTGTGGCATTTTCTCTGTGCATCCTTGGTGCTATATACAGCATGGCCGTAAGTAATAGAACGTCAAAATGACCACCACCTACAATTAAACATTTTGAGACTTACATGAATGCATGATATCTGTGTTCTTAAATTAATTTTCTTCATACAGCACTTCCCTATCTTCAGTTTATCACTTTGAAATTTTATGCAGATTTTATCTATGCTGTGGTTTATAAATATTTAAAGTGTGCATGTGTGAATATGACATAAAATTTGATTCATTTTTTAAGTGTGCACCATGTTTTGACCCAGAAGAAGCAGAGCGCTCGCATGCGTCCAGTTCCAATTGCGGAGCAGTACTTGAAACAGGGTTTGACATATCGAGATGAGGCACAGACATGGTGACAGCCAGCAAACACCGTTTGTAGCGGTAGCAGTCGGAAGCTCCTGTCTGAGTGTGGGGCAGAGCATTTGGGCTCTGCCATGGGTAAGGTGGAGTCTGCAGAGGGTGGGAACAGAATAAGGACAGATTTCTCTGACTGTGACGGGAGACTGGTGCCTGCCTCATTAAGCAAAAGTGCAAAGGAGCAGGTTGCTTATTCACTTGATCCCACTTGCATGTCATCTGGAGATATCTCCCCTCACGCTGATAACAGTATTCCTATTGCAGTTGATATTAACAAGGCTTCACGTGTATCTCCCAAAAGTAAAGTGGTAACCACTTTGTCTGGTGTGTGCGCTGTGAATCTCAGTGCACCTAATGCTGAACACAAGGATGTGTTATGTGAGTCACCTAACTGTTGTGATGAAACACTTACTAGCAGTGGTGGGACTGAGGTTTGTGCATCTCTGACCACAGTTAGATGTCTCTCTCCTTCCAACAAGGGGAATTTACATGGGGCTACAGCCTCTCAGTGTACGGGCCCTAACAGTGCAACGTCAAGCATAGAGGACCCTGGAGGTGATGCAATGTCTGACTTGAAAATTCCTACTCTCAGTATATGTGTATCCTAGCAAAACACAATGTAGAGTACTAATTAAAACAGAGTATCAGATTTAAGTTGTTTAAATGTATTGATGATTAGCACAAATGATGTGTTTCTACCAGTTTAAAATAATTATTGTCAGGTTAGTCAACACTTGACTAGCAACTGGCATGTATGGGTTGAAATTTTATGTGCATGAGAGACTGTATGTCCATATTTTTTTTAAGAATCATGTCCTTTCTGCTAGAATTTGTTTGTGGGCCTGAACTAGCTGATGGTAGCTGAATTGGGAAGGTAGCTATGATTCATTTCCCAACAGTCATCATACTCCAAAATAAAAAGTTGAAGCAACATCATGGAGGAAGACATCAAGAACATAAACTGAGTGGACTGTACAGCTGTGGCATGTGAAGTGGGGAAAGTCAGTCATCTTAAAGCAACATGGAGGATGATTGGATACTGCTGAGAGTAGGTGCAATTAATTTCATGTCAGTGAGCCTACAAACACATGAACATTTCAGGATGAAACTAAACTTATAGATGTGCCAAAACAATTGTAAGGAGAGTCCATGACACTAACAGGCAAGTGCAATATTGCCACTATTTTATGGACTAAGTAGCTAGTGTGGGAGACAGACTCCTGATTCAGCTGAGGTCTCTAGGTTTTGCACCAGTTCAGAAAAGAATAGAAGTTAAATGAATATGTTGTTATTTCATTCATGTATATGTAACTAACTCTACGGATACTTCCTCATCTAGTCAAGGAATTCCTCACACTTAATGGAACTTGAAAGTTTTATTACCGTATTCAGGAGAGTGTGCCACCAGTCTCTATCCCGGCAAAACGAATTAAGTGCACACAGTCCCACCACCTCAACATTAACAGTTTGAAGATATTTCCACTATGTAGTTCCAGGACACACAGTGAAACAGAATTCATGACTCCTAAATTACTCCGCATACCTGATCAGTTTGAAGACTGGAGTGTAGATGAACATTCAAGGAACATTTATTTCTGTTTATGTTCACATAATGTCCTTGCTAGTAAAACATAATGTCACTTTTGTTGCATTGATTGGTTTTCTGTTAATGAATACATTATTCCCACCAATATTGTTATCAGTAGGAATTGGGATAGTGACTAGCTACAGGCTAGGCAACCAAGGGGTCAGAGCTTGAGTCCCGATAGGGTGAAGAATTTTCTCTACTCCACATCGTCCAGACTGATCCCTGGGGCCCACCCAACCTCCTCACCAATGGTTGCTGAGAGTTCTTTCCCCAGGTGTAAAGTGGCCGGGGCATGAAGCTGACCACTCACTTCCAACTAGTGCCAAGGTCAAGAAAACATGGATCTATACATCCACTCCCCCATACATCTTTTAAGAAGTAGTTAAGCACAGGGACAACTTTAGCTATTGTACTGTTATGACTATTAACTGCTGACTCAGACCCGTTCCCTTTTAAGAGTAATGGTCTACCATTTGCTCACTTGGAGTCCCATTTCCATTTCCTGTATCTGTACATTCCTACCCTTCCCCAACAGGCTATTTTTTTACCCTGAAGATGGTGGCAGTGGTTTCCTCAGAAATGCTGGTATCTTTTTTACCAGACTGTACCTGGTGTTGCATCTCAGATGATACCACTCAGGAATAATCTTTCTGTTCTGGGTGATGACATTGCTGTTGTGGACTGGTTTGCTGATGCTTTAACCTTTTGACGTGGTCATTTAAATTCCGCGGCCGCGGCTCCTGCGGTAATATATTCAGCCGGCCATTTAAATTTTGCTCGAAAATTATTTATTCATCATTGTTCTTAAATTCTATGAGATAGGAACATGAAACTTTCACTAAAATGATCTTAAAAGGTGGTTTTATAACCTTACCTTATAATATGAACCCCCTTTATATCTTCAATGGAAGCATGTTATTTAGTATTTGAGCAGAGAATGGTACGCCTTGAAGGATGAAACTTTCACTAAAATGATCTTAAAAGTTGGTTTTATAACCTTGCCTTATAATATGAGCACCCGGTATCTCGGCTATGTAAGCAGGTGACGCCTTGAAGCATTAGTCTAAACACAGAGCTGGCTCTCGAAACGACCACCAAGGTCAGTACGATAAAATGGCGTCAACTGGAGCGATAATGAGTACTTTTCCCTCCCCCACACACATCCGTATCGTCTCAGGGGGTGACCACAGTGTTCTGCCTTAAATTGTGGCGTATTTCTAAGAAATGGGTGCTATGTACTGTGCGAAAGCAATCGATTTTACGAGAATAACATTTTGGACAACCCTCTTCTAAGAATTCCAATGGAATGTGTTTGTGTGGCCAGCTCAGGGCAATATGATATTATATACAACAGCACACATCACCTCTCTGGTGTTTATTACTTCACAAGCAAAGCAAATACGCCATTGAGTGACGAAACCGCTACAAGAAGCAACACGAATTTGCTGCAAGACAGGCATATGTAACGATGACTTATCTCAGCTAAACTCGTTGGCTTAGTATACTCTGTTCTTGTGACAACAGGCCAGCGAAAAATCCAACAATCTACAGCAAAACCATCAATTATTATGGGCGTTATAACATAGGTGTGCAGCTGGACGAAACATACACGCCGAACCCCCCCCAGACGATTTAAATCCCTGACGAAACATACACGACGAACCACGGCAACGGGTTAAGTAACCTGGTTATCTTCATTCTAAGATGAGGTGACAGTAAGGGACCTTTTTCTGATATTTATATTTATTGGCAGTAAGGCAGGGGACACATGGTAGTGTAATTGGTTGGGGCACTATGTTACAAGCTAAAAGGTCGCGGTTTCAATTCATTATCTGATCATTGAATTTTTCAGTTGACATAATCCTTCCAGCCACACTATGGCTTTGGGGTCAATTCAGCCTCTAACAGAAACGAGTACCAGGAATCTTCCTGGGAGTAAAGGGCAGCCGTCACGTAAGGCTAACAACCTTACCGCCATCTGTGAGCTGATTGTCTAGAAAATGTGGGAGCTTTGACATCGCACAACCGTATGGGCCTCCACAGCCTGTTACCGGGATACTTTACTTTTTACCTTTTCCTGGCAGTAAGGCAGTGGGAAATTCTGAATTCTGATTTGGTAGATGTATGACCAGTAAGGAAGCTCTGCTTGCTGGTGTCTTGCTTGTCATATTGTTTGACCCTGGAGTACGTTCCTCTGTGAACTGCATGGCATTATATCCCTAGCAAATTGTGATGTTCATAGTTGCTGCTCTGAGGACCTCAGTCCAAAATAAAGAAGGAAATCACTACTTCGTCTGTTTTCAGGTTCATCTTTCCTCTGAAGGAAGATAGTGAGATGAATTAGGCAGTGTTGAAGGCCTTATCAGAACCATTTTATAGAGACATCACAGTGTCTGTAGTTTTCTCTGTTGCTCTCGGGGAAGCAGCCATAGTGTCATCATTGAAGAATGGAAATGAATTATCTGAAAATACCGGGTATCCAGATGAAAGGTATCCAAAATAACAAATTTATGTCTCGGAGAACTTATTGTCATAAACATATCCCGTTTATATCATCTTGAGTGTCTTTTTTTTTGTGTGTGTCTGGTTTACGCACATGCATCACCATATTTTTGCCACATGCTAGGAATCACCTGGACAGAGAGATGGCTGGGAGATGGATCAGCAGAGGTGGATCAGTCACTTGGCCTCCTAGGTCGCCAGATTTGACCACATTGGATTTTTGTGGGGTTATGTGAAGGACATTTTCTGCCAGGTTAAGATCAACGACCTTCATACTCTGAAAGCCCATATAAGGGACGCTGTGGCTACTGTAACACCAAACATGATTCAAGCAATGTGGAACGAGATCAAATATCATCTGGATATTTATTGTGTCACTAAGGGAGCCCACACTGAAATTTATTTAGAAAGTGATAGTTCCCATTTGTAATTGTGTAACCCATAATTTTATATAATAAATGCTTTCTGAGATATAACTATTTTATTTTGGATACCTTTCATCCAGATGCCCTGTATAACTTCTGTATAATTTATGTGCTTTTGAATGGTTTTATTCTTAAATGATTCAGTATTTGAATCTTAAGTGATTACACATTATATCTCAGGTAACATTATACACATGACGGGAATACATATTCTTTTCCTGTTTTATAACTTACAACATATTCTTATTTAATCATTGAAATGTAGAAATTATACAAATATTGCAGAGACCTCAGATGAATGGGTTGTTGTCTCAAAATGTGGCCTTCTGACATCAGTACAAGAGATAAAATGTCAGATGTACTGTGTGGTAGATGGTAATGAATAATATGATCGTGTTTTCATGGGTCTCATTATGCTAATGGTGGGCACCATTTGGACCATTTTGTATATAATTTTATTCGTCATGAATGTTGTGAAAATGGTCTGATATGAATACATTGTG